TTGGGGATGAAGAGAAGCAGCAGCAGCAGAAGTATAAACTCACACTATGAACAAGGTATCAAGACACAATAAACAGTAATATGTCGGCTGTTCCAGGCAGCAGCAGATGCAACAAACAGCAGCAACAAAAGAAGCAGCAGCAGCAGCAGCAGCAGCAGCAGCAGCAGCAGCAGCAGCAGCAGCAGCAGAGGTACAAGTTGCCCCCTACCCAGTCCCGCTAGGCCGAAGCCCGCACAGAAGTAGGGGTTTTCGCTGAGGAAGTCTGGGAGCAGCCGCTTAAGAGAAGGGGGCAGCGTGGGGCCCCTAGAAGGCTCCCCTGTTGCTGCACTGATGAGGCCGCTGGGGGCCCCCTGCTGCTGCTCCATCAGCATCAGCACGGCGGTGTGGGGCCCCTCGTAGATACCGCTGATGTTGCTGCTGAGCAGCAGACGAGAAGAAGACGTGTATTTAACTCAGAGAGAAAAGATAGAGACAAAGAAAGAAGAAAAAACTCCGCGCTGTATACGCAGGTCAGCATACACCCAACGAAGTCTCTGTATCGGGTACAGTCGTAGCAACGTCAGCAGCTCAGCGGCAGAGTTAATACATTTTTTAGGTTTTTCATACAAAAATTCAGTAATTTAAATTTAAATTTACAACAAATACGAACACTCTTCTGCCTCTACCTCGACTCAGCGCCACACACGAATACACTCTCGCCGCGCGGCCGACAGCGTCGATCTACGTTGTGTACCTAGCACTGCTGGATATACAAAAAAGGCAAGCAAACCCTTAAAAAGGGAATTTCATAAAATAAATAAAAATAAAAGTAAGAAATGCAAACATTTCAAATCAAAAAAAAAATATAAATGCCCCGAGACCGCCTCAGAAAACAAATTTCGTGGGGCCCCCTGTGAGGGGGCCCCCCATAGGCAAGCCATAACAGCACTGAAGCTGGGGTTTTGCTGCTTCGCAGCGATGAAGCCGAAGCTTTGTTTAAATCCCTAATATAGGAGAGAAAAAGAAATTAAGCTCTTCCGCTTTGAGGCCTTCACGGCCCTCCACGCAAAGCGCAGTGGTTGCAGCAAGAAAGGACAAACTGCTGCATCTTTTGTTTATTTGCTCTACTGTTCGAACATGCAAATATCCATACACCAACACAAACTGGCGAGACACCGAACGCCTGCTACGGTCATTCAGATGCCTCTTCCATAGCATCCAAACACTGCACCGCCTCATCCGCTGAATTGCCACCAATACATATATTATATATATATATATTATATATATATATATATATATATATATATATATATATATATATATA